AGGCCAGCCAGGCGGGGTGAGAAAGGCCAAAGTTTCTGGGCCCCATCCTCTGAACTGGAGCCCGGCGCGGCCCGTGGGACCCGAGCATCAGGGGCGCCCGTGGCATCCTCGCCTCCTTCCTTCCACGTCAGCTCTGCGGAGACTAAGCGCGGGCGGAGCTGCCTTTCCCGGCCGGTCCCGGCCGGGTCCTTCGGGCTCAGCCTCCCACTCGCGCAGGCAGGGCCGGCTTTCCTGGGGCGTCTGGGCCCAAACTCTCAGGCAGGCGCCAGGGTGTTCCAACCCCGAGTTTCCAGAGCCACCGGAGAAGGAGTCGGAGGAAGCCTTCACTTTAAGTTTCAATAAGGCCCAACAAGCATGTGGTTTGGGTCCAGAGTCAGTACTCTTAATAAATAATGAAATGAAAAGTGTGCCCCACCCTCCTCCCCAATCTTTCCGGGTGTGCAAAGCCTTCGGGAGCTACAGAATCCCTGATTGGGGAAAACCGCGCTAAAAGAGACTATTCAAGTGTTAAGGACCCTATGATTCGAGAGGCCCACTAAGATCAGAGGCCTTTGCTTGAAGCTGGACTGATAAGTAACTCTTTTGAGTTTTTCCTTAGATTTATAACTTTTAAGCTTCTCAGATGGTAATACTTTAGTATAATGCAGTGCTCAAATTTCGGAACTATTTTGATTTCTGAAAAATGCCTTTTTGGCTTCAGTGACATGGGATCCTGTTATTTTTTCACAAATCAGTTTACATCATAAATTGCAAACATTTGCAATAAGATCTCAAGATTGTTTATTTTATGTAACCTCAAGCACTCGACTATGTTAAACACCAGTACAGAAAGTCTGTGAAATCAGTTTAATGTGTGTGAGGGAATTAAAGGATCACTCCTTTTCATCACATAAACAAAGCATTTAAGATTGTTTTGATTGTCAATCTCCCGAATTTTAAACACTCTTTACAATTGACTATTAATTTTACAGTCATTCTGTGCAAAAATAATTACTGAAGTTATATCCTGCTTTAATTAAATGGTTCTAGGCAGAATAAAATGGTATTCTACAATTGGGAAACGGGTGATTGTTTTGCATTATATTATTTTAAATTATTTTAGTTCAAATGTAAATAAAGTCTGCAAATTCCAATGGGAGGAAAAAGGCCTGAAGTAGTTTCTTAATGTGCCATTAGAACAGTTAGTCAAAGTGCATTAAAGGAATGTCACAAACCCAGAAATAATAAATATGTCATTCTAATGAGAGTGTTAACTTATGGATAATTTATTCAAGGTAGTTTTTACTTTTCATATGGAATCTCTTACTATAACGTGCCTGAGCACTGCGATGCTTGTTCCTCAAAATCTAATTTATATAGGCTTGGATATACATAATTTATAACTTGTGTTAATATACTTATACACACCCCAAATTTTAAAACCTTTACAATATGTTTGCATGTTTACTTGCATGTCTTCAAGACAACTGAAATAAAAACATACAAAGTGTTAAGCATCGTATTGAAAGCAAGTGCTTGCACCTGAGTGAAGAAAAACTACTTGAAAATTAAAAATTAAAAAGGATTAGATAATTTTCAAGCTCAGATATAGAGTGAACACTGAAATAGTTCAGACAGGAAACATTCTTGTATAAGAAATGTGAAAATCTCCAAGAAAATGTACAGATGTGAGCTTATCACACTTCTGATGCCTCGACAATCCTTTCATGTGTCTAATTCATGAAACAAAAAATCCTCAAGCCTTGGGGTATTTTGTTTTGGGTATTTTATGTGTCAGTCAAGGTAACCATTGCATATGCCTTCAGCACAGGAAAATTTAGTATAGTACTTACATGGAGTTCTATTGGCATAAGGAAAGGTTTTAGAATATAATCAAATAAATCACATAGGGAGAGTAAACATACGCCCCCTCCCTTGTTGAACAACTGTTCACTTATCTCGACCAAGGATCTTTTGAGATTCTTATTCAGGCAAAATAGTGCAGGATAAGATAAGGGCACAGAATCTGGAGCCAGACTTCCTGGATTCAAACGTCACTGCTGGCATTTAACAGTCCTGTGGTTTTGGATGAGTTAATCTTTCTGTGCCTCAGTTTTCCTATCTGTAAAATGGGGGTAAAAATAGCATCTATTTCATGGGGATGTTGGGAGGATTATATGAGTTAATATTTGTAAAGCCCTAAGAACAGTGTCTTGCATCTGTATGTATGTATATGTATATATATATGTGCGTGTGTGTATATATATATATATGTATATATATGCCCTAGCTATTTATATTTTAATAAAAAGGCCAGTAGGTATTAATCCTTGTAATAAAAACCTTAGGAGAAGAAAATAGTACAAGACAAGGTATGAATACTTTTCTGTTGTGAGCAAGAAGAAAACATTGCCTACTAGTTTGTGATTCTAGCTAATTGCTTAGTCTCTGAGAGCCTCATCTGGAAGATGTGGCAGAAATCACAAGTAGTTAGGGGGCTTATCCATCAGAGCAGTTCATAGATTGCATAGTGCTATATCCATGACAGATATTATTGTTACTCTGTGATGTACAGTTAATAAGGTGAGATGTCAGGCATGACACTTGCCCTCAAGGGGCTTACCATCAAGGGGAAATAGTTCATAAGTACATATGATAGTGCTAAGAAGCATGTGCTACCACTTGCTTAGGTAAATGCACTTGCTTAAACGCTTTCAGACACATTATATACGTCTGAATGGTCATACAACACACACGTGGGGCCTGTTGCCCTGTTTTTGGAAATTGAATCTTCCTTGGAAATGAGTAGCCTTATAAAGGAATTGTGGAGCGACACCCAGAGGTTAAGAAGCAAACTTCGTTAGAATTAAACGCATACCATATGTTGCTGTGCTTTGTGTTCCATAGAACCATGTGCATTTTCTTTGGCGGTCCATGTTTGCAGAGCATTAGCAGTAAAATGCCAAAAGATGCAAAGGCTGCTGATCAACAATCTTTCACAGCACTTTGAAAACACATACAACACAAAGGAAGAAATATTTACTATTATAAGGACCTGTAAAATGAACAATTGAGGTCTAATTATGGGCTAAATGAAGAGGTCCTCATTTCCAATACTTAAACTTAGATATATTACTAATACTTGCCTCATATTCTATATAATATCTATTAAGAGCTTGAGCACTTTTTAGAAATTTTATAAATCTTTTTAATGATAGAGGATCCACATAAGAGCACTTTTTCCACGTCTTAATTTAGAAGTCAGTGTGATGTCGCAGAGTATAATTAATCTGTAGAGGCAGATGTTCCTGAGTTTAAATCTCAATTATACCACATATTAATTAGAAGCAAAGTTTCAGGTAATTTCTTAGCTTCCTGGAGTGAAGGTCCTCTTTGTGTCCTGCTTGTAGCATACTTTGCAGGTTATTGCCAGGATCAAGTAAAATAAGTGGTGTACTAGTAAAGTGCCTGGCATGTGATCAGTTTCCACAATGTACTTATCTATTTTTATTATTTGCCTTTCAGATTACTGTCACATAGAGAGGACTTTGAATTTACCTGTCTGTGATTAGAAACAGTTTTGGAAAATATTGGGAAGTGGTATCCATATTTATTTCAATTCCTCAGTATGAATATTGATTATGTTGTGTGGTCTGGACTTTGGAATAAAACTTTTCCAAGTCCTGCAAAACTTTTTTTTTAGAT